AACAAAAAGACAAATAACCCAACTTAAAAGCAGGAAAAAAAAAAAAAAAAAAAAAAAAAACAAAAAAAAAAAAACACTAAAAAAAGTTCTTGATGCGATTTCTCCAAAGAAAATACAGATGGCCGACAAGGATGTGAAAAGATGGTCGATGGCACCAGTCGACGAGGAAACACAACCAGAACCACCAGGAGGTGCTACCTCACACGCACTTTTTGGCAGTTGCTCAAACAAAAAGCCAAACATCTAATCCAGCAATTCTACTCCTGGGGGGATGCCCAAAAAGCTAACACTGTGCTCACAGCAGCCGCGCTCACAATAGACACGAGGTAAAAACAACCCAGATGCCACCACCTGGTGAGTGGATAAATAAGGCAAAGAGGTGTGGGGTACTAGGCAGCCGTGAAAAGGACGACACGCTACAACAAGGATGACACTGGAAAAACACTGGACTAGGTGGAAGAAGTCGGTCACAGAAAGCCACGTGCGTCATGATACCATTTGCGTAAAATATTCAGAACAAGTAAATCCATTGAGACAACAGCAGATTGACGCCGGCCCATTAGGAAAGATAGAAGAGATGGTGAATGACTGCTTAGCTAACAGATATGGGTGTTTTACGGGGCTGGGGGAGCGAATATTTTGGAACAAGACAGAGGTAGAGTTTGCAAAACACTGTTTGTGTACTAAATGCCACTTTGAAGTGGTTAATTTTATGTAATGTGAACGTTCCCTCCATTTAAAAACTAAGAGAGAGGGCCCTCCCTGGTGGCGCAGCGGGTTAAAGCACTGCACTGAGAAGCTAAAGCCACTTCCACATGAGTTCGATTCCCGCCTGCCCAGGAGGTGACCACATGGCGCGGCAGACCTCTCCTGACCCGCCCGCTGCTCCCCTCAGCAGTGTACTTCATCATCTGCCTGTTCTGCTCCCCACTGTCTCTGGTGAATCTTCTCACCGCCCCTGAGCCTCTGGCCTGTACCCCAGTTCTGTATGTACAAATAAATAAATCTTTAAAAAAAATAAAAAATAAAAACTAAGAGAGAATCAGAAAATAACAGGTGGTTGGAAGTTTTGTTTTTTGCTTTTTTTTTTTTTTTTTTTGGTTAGAAGTTTTAAAGATGTTTAAAAATCTTTAAGCCCCAACAACAGATCTAAAGACAGAATTCCAAATACTGGGAGAGGATATTCTGGGGGTCAAGGGTGCATCCTGCATGTAACTACCTTTCTCACATTCTGGAGGTCTGGCACCTGCACTGGGCAAGTCTGTGGGCTCTACTTTCTGGCTGCGGGGTGTTCACTCTCTCTGTTACCTTTCTTTGGGCTGCACCACCTTTAGACATAATGCCCCCACACTCACAGGCCACAGTATGACGCAGACATAAAGGTTACAGGCACGGGATACAGAGCAATAATCCTCAGGTCAGCCACATCATCAGATTTGCTTTATCGCTGTGGTTCTGGAGCTGAACCCAAAGCATCTCCCTAGGTGTCAGTGTCTGGTATGTAAATAACAAGTTCCAGCTTGTCTGCTCCCCTCCCGCAATTCTTGCAGCAGTCTAGCGGCTCCTGCACTGGCCGCATCCCCCGGATCCACTTTGCGCTGGCGCCTCCCTCTTCCTGCTGAATTCTGGAGCCTGAACCTGCTGCTTCCTCAAAGCTTTCTTTCTCGCCATTATGATGTTCCCGGAATTAATTTATGCGAGCCGCGAACAGAGCATCCTGTTCTGTCCCTACTCTGAGCCGTTCCATCTTACTGCCAAAGAGACCATTGGAGAGAATGTTCCAGAAGGCATGCCTCGGCAGGCTGCCCCCACTCCACCCCACCCCGTCGGGGCGCCCCCTCGTTCCCGGCGGCACTTGCTAGTTCAGCAGCCGGGCACGTTCTCTCCAGACGCCCCGCTCACAGGGCTCTTTCATCAGGCAGCAGGGTCAGAATCCGCCCCTCTGTTCCCACCACAGATGAGCGCCCGCCCCGCAGGCAGCCAGCTGGCGGCCCAAGCAGAGCAGTTGGCCAAAGCCGGATCAGAGCCCACTCCCCTGCCCTGGACGGGCCCCCTTGCACCCACGGGCCCACACCGGGCGGCTTGCAGGATCCCTACTTGCACACACACTCTCCCCTCAGCACCTCAGAAGGCCTGCGGACTCCACGTCCTGCTTTCTAGCCAAGTGGCAGGGTCCCACCCCTCGGCCCCAGAGACACCAACAACCTATGTCTGCTGGGGGGCTCCTGTGAGTTGCCCACCAGGATCCACAGTTCAAGGCACGCATCCCCTAGTCCTCAGAAACCTCTCCCCCCAAATGGACCCATGGGCCAGCCTATGGCCTCCCCTCGCCTCCCCCATGGAGACCCTGGCAGAGCCCTCTCGCCTTTGAGTTTGAAAAGCAGGTCCGGCCAAGGGCACTGCTAATGATGCCCATGTGGTACTGGAGAGCAGGGAGGAGCAGACAGGGTGAAGGACCCCTGAGTCCAGGGTCAGAGGCTTCTGGGGGGCAGGGGCAGACAGCAGACTGCATCTGGGGGCTCCCGGTCACACGATTTCTGAGAATTCATGCACTATAGAGTCTTTTGGGTCCAACGGTTTGAGCACTGCGTGTGCTCTCCTGCAGCCTTCATGAAGCAATTGGATTAACTGCAGCAAGTGGTGGCTTTGCCCCATCTTGGGGTGTGAGGCTTTTCTGTGTCGGAGGGAGAGGGCCCTCATGGGGCCCGGCCTGGAGGGGTTCCGTGTGGAGACAGAGCAGTCACAAACGACACCTCCAGTGTGTCTGGTCTCTGGAGAATCCTGGCCGACCTCTGTCAGATACATGGTGATCACAGTTTACCAAAATGTAATCCAATTTCCGTTCACGTCTCCTAAGATGTCCAGAGGTTGAGCAGACTTTGGGGGTGGCTGGCTGCAGATCACACCCCTTTCCACAGGGGCTGGACTCTTCTGCCTTCACATATGTGGGTTTTGTGCTGACGGGATCTCTTCTGGAGGTCACTGTGGCTGCAGCAGCTCCGGATCTCACATCCTCATCCACAAAGAAAAGGCAAGGTTCTCTCCCCAGAACCAAAACCTGGAGCCAGGTTTTCATTGGTTGAATAGACTGAGTAGCCCACCTCAGGGCAATAACTGTGGGCAGTAGGACAATCTCACCAGCTTAGCCAGCCCATGAGGAAGCGAGAATGGACGTTAACCCCGCCTGGATCATGTGGACAAGTTAGCAAGCAGTGACGCCTGAAGAGAAATTCAAATCGCCACAAGAGAAGGGAAATCTGGGTCTCAAAAGCTTCAGCCTCCCCAATGTCATAATAGACCATCCCACACATTCCAGTTCTTGGTCAAATCCTTCTTCACTTTAGGTTGCACTTGTTAGAACAACTGAAGTCCAGAAAAATCCATGTCTTGAATATTCATTAAGTTTGTTTTAAAGAAATATTTTCGGCTCCGTGGTATTCTTGGCACTTGTTATTTAAAAGCTACAGTATCTAAAATGATGGAAGGAAAGGAATGGCCTCCTGCCGGGCTGAGCCTCAGGGCCTGGGGAGCAGGGAAAGCTCCACAACCCAGAGGTGGCAGGGGCTTTATCAGGGTGGGGGCCTTTGCCTGCTCTGCATGTTGGGGAGTTCCTCACTGTGTAAGAAGGTGGGGGGGCTGCATCCAAAAGGGGCACAGGACAAGGAGCTCTGGGGCAAGGAGCGTGGGAGAGGGGACTTCCGGGCACAGGTCCGTCACTGAGCTGCCACGGCGGGAGTGAGCGTCCCCGAGGCAGCGGCGCGTGCAGGGGGCACCCTCTGTAGCTGGCCAATGTCAAGCATGCGCAGCTTTGCGGGGTGTGCAAAGCAGATGGCTCCAAATGGCTAGAAATGTGCTGATGGGGCAATATTCGTACTGAGGCCTGAAGAGTTGAGCTTGGCCCTGGCAAGTGTAAGAGCTAAAGGCCCTAGTCTCATGGGAAAGGGTGGCACGCTGAGGCCTTCTGAGACTCGCAGACCACCAGTGTTTGTGACCCCCCTCCCCCCACCGGACTGCCCATGGGAGCAGAAACACTCCTACTCCAGAGTCTTTGTGACACAGCATTTGTTATCTAGACCCCTGGCATTATGGGTGTCACCAAAGAGTGAAAGGGGGCAAGACAGCAACTCTGGGTTGAGGAGTGCCCCTGCAGGAAAGTGGCCTCGCTCTACCTGGGCCCTGAGCCCACAGACAATGGCCACTGCCTGCGCTCAGGTGCGGGGGTCTGGCCCATCTGCTATAAATGCAGCACAAACGCAAAGTGAGTGCAACACAGCGTGGCTGGGGAGCCATGGAAGAGTGGGGGGCTGACAAACTCCAGTAAAAGTCCTGAGAGACCCTTTGGGACGCATTAACAGACAGGTCACAAAATTGCCAAGGGAGTAGGTGCCTGCAAAGAGGACAGTCTGAGGGGCAGTGAAAGGGGAGTGCTTGGGGCAAGCAGGGTGGTCCTCTGGTATTCGTGCTAAATTGATCCTTTTGGGGTCCGCTTTGTGGCAATGTCAAGTGAGAAATGCAAGATGCAATAGTGCACAGTTGCACAAACTGGCCACATATTCTTGGATCAAAGACGAGTCCCCATGATGCCAGCAGCCCCGGACAGCCGTATCCACACAAGGCCCATCCGCGTGTCCCTCAACGTACCAACTTCCTCTCGCAGAGGAACTGGCTGGCCCTGTCAGTTCCTGGCACGATCCTGTCTCTGCACCTTTGCAGGGGCTGTTCCTTCCACCTGGAATCTGTCCCCAGGTCCCTGGACCCACCTCTTTGAGGTGGGCAAATGCCCCCTTCCTGGGCACCCAAGATGACCTGCACATCCTCCCATCTTCAGCGCCTTCCTCTCCAGGTCCTCGTCTAATTTCAGGGCCATCAGCTAGTTCCCTGCCAGTTTTGCTGCCTGTTTATATCTGTCTCCACACCAGGGGAACAGGGGCTTTTGAGTTTCCTCTCCCACTGGGCCCGGGTCCTGAGAAGCGTGCCCACACGGGGGAGCGCCAGGTCAGCCCCGGCAGCACCAAGGGTCTGGGTACTCTCGGTCTCTACATGCTCCAGCCTTTGAGGGTGGAAGATGCCCAGACAGAGACAAAGGCTGCTGAGGTCAGGCGAGGGTGTGTGGACATCGAGGCCTGAGGGGCCAAGGGTTCTGGAACTTTATTTAATGCAGCTGGTTACAGATACCCAGACGGACCTCCAAGGCCTGGGTGGACAGTCTGTGAGGGAGCCCAGTGGGGCTGGTTCTTTTCTAGACAAGCTGCTGTCCCAAGGTACAGTCCCCGGACTCTCTTGCATGAATGTGTCTGGGACATATCCCAGCAGCCGCTCCCTGTCAGGGAGAGCGAAGCGGGAGCAGCAGGTGAGAGCACACTCCGGGCCACGGCACTGGAGCCCTCTCAGGTTGCTGTAACGACACTTTCCATTTGGATCCTCCCAGCAAACCACTTCCTGTAATGAATCAACCACAGAGAGATGGCGGCATCTCCAGCCAAGTCCCTAGAGGCGGGCAAAGTGGGGTCCACTGAGCACTCCGTTCAGGCCATGACTGAAAGATTGCAGGGCAGGGGAGGAGTCAGGAGAGCCTCTACTGGGGCTGCCAGGGTGACCACAGAGCAGGGGTCCCTCCTCTTCTGGGAGAGGAACCTTGGACCCTGGTGTCAGAAGCTGTTGTCTCTGAGTCAGGAACAGAGCAGGAGCCCACAGAAGGACAGATGCCAGGGAACCCATGCCTGTTGGGGAGTGCTGGGCAGCGCTCGACTGGGGACCCCAGTGCATAAAGAGGGATCTTTCAAAGGAAAATGTGCCCTGGGGGGCCCCCTCCTCTCCCTGCACAATTTAATCCTACAGCAAAAAAGTGGAATACTGACCAAACTAGATGGCTAGCTTTTGACAAGTCAGAAATACAGCAGGATTTAAGGAAGGATGTCATTACTTCATAGTTCCATCCCAAGGGCTACTTGGATGCGTGTCTGCACACATGCACACGTGTTGTCACCCTGGACACTCATCCTCCTGAACACTATGATTGGTCCAAGTAGGAACCATGTGACCTAACAAGCCAATGAGAATCCCTACCCCCTGGCTGCACTCGATTGGCTAACACTGATTTGATTGATGTGTGACCCAGGATCTGTCAGGCAGCAGGGAAGCCAGCTTTCTTTTCACTCTTTATAAAGCGTTGCCAGCATCCACCACCTGCCTGAGGAGTAGAGCCAACAGAGAACATGGGGACCGAGGTGGCAAGAGATGCCTTCCATGCCACAGTCTGTGCATCCAGATCCAGCCAGACCTGCAGCTGTCACTGTACTTTTCAGTTACATGAGCAGGTAAAGTTGGGTGAAGACACTTTGAGTTGATTTGCTCTGTGTACCATTCAAAGTGCGATGAGAAAACAGTCAGGGTCTGACATTT